GAGATCATCCTGGAAAGCCTAGGAAATGAGCAGTTATTCTGGCTTCTCCTTCAGACTCCAAACAGCTCAGCTCCAAATACTCTGCATCAGCTCAGACTTTCACAATGTTTTGTCACTGTTTTTCAAACGTTGCATTTTATTATATTGTCCTGCAGGTATGCTAGTCCATGGCTCCAGTCATGAAAGCCGCTTGGTTGACGATTTATTCAGCAGCTACAACAAAATTGTGCGTCCAGTGAGCAATCATTCTCATGCTGTGGAAGTTATTGTGGGACTGCAACTTATCCAGCTGATCAATGTGGTATGGCGAAAGTGTTAATAGCAATAGCACTTAGACTTACATACCGTTCCATAGTGCTTGACAACCCTCTCCGGGCGGTTTTCAGTGGCAGCATATTGCCCTCAATGATCTGAGTCAGTGATGGCGAACCTTTTAGAAACTGAGTGCCCAAACTGCAACCCAAAACCCACTTATGCATCGTCGAGTGCCGGGTGGGTGTGGCGAATTGGCTGGGTGTGGCCCATTGGGTAGGCGTGGCCAATTGGGTGGGCATGGCTGCAGTGGTAACGGCAGACTGGGTGGGACTAAAAATTTCAATCAATCAATTCCAACTTTGCAAGATCTTTTTTTTTCCCGCGAGAAGTTGAAATTGACTGATTGAACCTTTTTTTTTTTTTTGCACACGGCGGCGGAGGCCTAAAGCGAACAGGTTTTATAAAACCCAGCTGAAGGCCTAGGACTGGTGCGACGGCACGCATGCCCACAGAGAGGGCTCTGAGTGCCGCCTCTGGCACCCGTGCCATAGGTTCGTCACCACTGATCTGAGTCCTCATTTTACCAACCTCAGAAGAAGGGAAGACTAAGTCAACCTTGAGCCAGTCAGGATCGGACTCCAATCTGTGGGCAGTTTTAGCCTGCAATATTGCATGCTAACCACTGTGCCACCATGGGTCTTAATATACCCTTATCATTATTAATAGCATTCCCATTCTTTGGGGGGGGGTTGCTTAATGGATTAATCAGATAATTAGTCACCTTGTGGCGAGATGGGTGGCAGGCAAATTTAATAAATAAATAAAAAAATTAATTAATGGATTATCGAATGAATTAAGTCATTCTCACCACCAACAATCTCAATGCCATAAAATCTTATCTTTTCGCATATATGGGAACTCCTTTCATAATTAAACCTACGTCTTCACTTCTAGGTGCGTCTACTTCTTGATTTACGATGGCAGTTGACTTTAGAATTTCTGTTGCTAAGCGATGCAGTAGTAAATTGCAATGTCATGTGATCACATTGCTTAGCAATAACAAAGGCGGTCCCTGTTACTGTCTTTAAGAAAGGATCCAGTGGGAAAGGGAAAAGAATCCAGGCAAGCAAGATGGCAGGCCAGAGTTATGGGTAGGTGGGTGCTACAGGCAGGCACTACAGATGTTGTAGGTGGCACTAGAGCAGTGGTTCTCAACCTGTGGGTCGGGACCCCATTTGGGGTCGATCGAACATTTCATGGGGGTCGCCAAGCAAGGCTGTCCGCCATTTTTTTGTCCGCCATTTTTTTTCCCCTTTTCCGGCGGGTGCCTTACCTCCCTTGGGCTGGGCCAGCTGGTGGTCGGCCTGCTCCGTCTCTGCCGCTTGCCAGCTACGCCTCGGCCGGCGCAGGGGGCGGAACCACGCATGCGCGGCGCTCCCGAGCAGGGAAAGTCCTCGACTTACGACCGGTTGGGTAGTCCTCGACTTACGACCGGTTTAGTCCTCGACTTACGACCGGTTTAGTCCTCGACTTACGACCGGTTGGGGTCGCGGCATTAAAAAGGTTGAGAACCACTGCACTAGAGAGTGTGAGCAGGCCAGCTCATTTCGAAAGTCCTTCCTTGGCCTACAGATGTAAAAGGGAAAGAGTAGGGAAGGAGTCAAAAAGGAAACGTTCAAGAAAGGCTATCAGAGAGAGCATCCAATAGATTGGTCATCTATTTTTTGCTCTAGCCCACTGATAATTCAGCCCTGTAAGTAGATCAGATTAAGAAAGAGACACCATGTAGACTTAAAGCTCCTTTATTAGAATAGCTCTAGTTACAGAATCCTGAAAAATCTGGATGTTCTTCCTGTGGTGTCTCTCTGATCATTGCCTTTGTAGTGGATCTGCCCTCTGTCCTTCAAGGCCTTCTTCTTTAATCACTACAGATAGCTTGTATCAGCCATGACTTCTAGCAGTTATAGAGCATTTTACAGTTTCCATCTAAGGAAATGTAGCTCTTGCCGGAAAAATCATTTCCAGGAGTCAGGAACATACATGAAAGAAGGCATCAGCAGGAGATACGCAGATTCGGGCAGACTGATACGGGCAGATGTACACTTTTAAATATAGGGGCTTGAAGCTTTTAATAATAACTTGGAGTTACAGAATTGGGAGATGTTGTTTAGGCATTCCCACTTCAGTGCAGTAATTCAGATTGAGGTCTTCGTGTCAAATAGTTATCTGGACTGTACTATTCTAGCATCTGGAATAAGATCCAGACATTATTAGAATGCAATAAATCCAGTTTTTGTTTGTTTTGTTTTAAAGCTGAAGTGACTTGACATAAGAAAGCTAGCAATTTAAATAACATTCTGGTACCTAAACGATGCCCTAATCAAAACTTCCAAAGTTATCTTTAGATGCAAACCCAAGTATAAAATGTTACCGTTGTCCAGTTTGTATTGTGCAATTGGAGAACAGTATTTTCTAGGTGGCTCTGCCCTGGAAGATGACAAATTCCTTTTAAGCCTCTCCCACCTCTCCAATGCTGCCTGTTGTCAGGGGTAGTCAACCTGTGCTGGCTCAGGAATTCTGGGAGTTGAAGTCCACGAGTCATAAAAGAGCCAAGGTTGACTACCCCTGGTCTACGTGCACCTTCCCAATTCAAAGACCCCCTTGCTTCTTTCTTCAGAAAAATGTGCAAATTTCATCAGTACAGGTAATCCTCAACTTACAACTGGTCACTTAGGGGCTGTTCAAAGATAAGGCTGACCCCGAAAAAGGTTGTAAAATCAGGTCAGTCAAATGACTGATCTGTTTTAGGACCACTACGACATACAACTGTAATGGCAGACTCTGTTATAGTCATACATCAAGGACTACCTGTAGGTTCTTTGACTAACAAGGAACAGTCTCATAGCAGTAATTAAGCTATTTTTTTTTAATTGGGGCGAGGAAATCTAATTTCTTGGAGAGAAAGTGCTTGGAGAGAAAGAAAGAAAGGGAAAAACAGTGAAGGCTTTTAGCCAATAATCTCAACAGCAATTATTGCAAACAAGTTGTTTTCCGTTAACCTTGTCTTTTTTTTCTCTCCTAAGGATGAAGTAAATCAAATAGTAAGCACCAATGTGCGCCTGAAACAGGTAATAACTCCGTGATTTATAAACCAGCACGTTGTGTTCAATGCACAAAGGTCCATTTTGATCAGCCTTGTTCCCCATTCAAGGAATTCTTTGGATTAGAGTTCCCTTTTTCCAAGGGAAAATATTCTTGTGGCTTACAGCCAAAGAAATGCGCAATTAGATTTTATAAAGTTTGTCACAGCAGTGGCACCACGCATTTTGATAATTGGATTTTAGAAAAACCAAACATAAGGTCCCTTCCAACTTTACTATTATATTATTATTACTAGCTGTACCCGGCCATGCGTTGCTGTGGCTCAGTCTGGTTAAATGGAAAAGAAAGAAAAGAGAAAGCGCACGTTTCTAATATGTTTAATTACCTGTCACAGGTGTGACATCTATATAATAGTAGGTATATAAAAACACGCGCGTATTCAAATGCAACGTTGTGTCAAAATTTCAAAGCAATTGGTGAAGAACTTTCGGAGATTTAAGATTTTGAACAAACGAACATTTACATTTTTATTTATATAAGATTATATCAGCATTTTTTTTTCTGAATGCCTATTTGTTGTGGGAAATATTCTAGCACCTGGTTGTCATAAACCCATACTCTAAGCACCAGACAGAACTGGGCTGAATTTCCAGAAGCATCTCTTCTCCTTCCTTCCCTCTCCATAATACATTTGATAAACTGCTTTCAAAATGATGTAAAGGAGCTGGATCTAGCTGGGGTGGGGTGGGGTGGGGGGGAAACCTCCAAGATAAATTCCCACAAGGTCCCTGGAGAGTTGGAATGCTGTTGACTGCTCCAGTCGAAGCCCCTCCCTCCTTCTCCTGGTCACGTGACTCGGAGTGGAATGGATACAGTTTTCCCTGTAATTCCCAGTGTCGATACAAGCACAAAAACACGAGGAGAGACCAGAAAAATAGATATACCTGGGGAACAGGTATGCAGTATGCATGAAGGCAAGTGTTAAAATATGGGTCGTGACATCATGATGCAAGCTCCATGGCTTATGTATTTACACGTGACCTCAGGAGACAAGTACCAAAAGCAGAGTTTGTGTTACAACTTCACCAAGTTGTCTGTGACTAGCAATAGTTATTCATCCTGATTAGATCTTCACATTTATGCAACACATTTACCACCATCCTGTTTAGACTCTCACATAAGACAAATATATTAGTCTCTAGGACGAAAGTGCACATCTGAGTGTGTGCACGCACACATGCACAAAACACGTTACATGTAGTCCTCGGCTTACAACAGTTCGTTTAGTGACCGTTCACAGTTACAACAGCACTGAAAACTTATGGCTGGTTTTGACCTTTGCAGCATCCCCATTGTTGAGTTATGACCTTTGCAGCATCCCCATTGTTCTGAGCCAGCCCACGTGAGTCCTTGTTATACTCACAAGGAGAAACCCCTCTTCCAATCAAGCAGACAGGAACCGCAGGAAAAAACCAAACCCTCTTTTATTATTCACAGATCTGAGTCAATGTCCAAGGCAAACAAACACAGTTCACAGAAACTCGATCCTCAACATGAACGGTTGCCCTCGGCAACCAGCACCTCCCACACCTTCCCTTTTATTATGCAGCCAAAGAGTGGCTTTCCTAATGCCTACTCCTTTGCCTTTGGAGCCGCCCCATTGCATTCCTCTGACCTGCTCTCTTTTCTTGCCGGCGTTGTCATGCATCCTGGATATTTCCCAGCTGTGCTTCGTCACTGTCCCACTCAGACTCCCAGCACAGCTGTGTGTCAGCTTGAGCGTGAGTAGAGGGGCCAGGCTCCTCGTCAGACTGTAAGTCTTGGAGTTCCTCAGAGACATCCTCTGACTCTAATGTCACATCAGGCCCTTCCTCCTCATCTGACTCCTCAGACTCAGCTGCCGGATCCACGGGCTGGCGAGGAATCACAACACCCGTGAACACATGATTCATATTTAGATGCTTGGCAGCTGGCTCGTATTTATGACCGTTGCTGTGTTCCAATGTCATGTGGTCCCCTTTTGTGTTTTCGATTGTCACAAGAATGGGGGGAGGGATGGGGAGTTTTATGCTAGTCTAAACAATTCTCTGTCCCATGGGAACCAAGGTCATTTCTTTTCATTAGACTAGGGGTTGAGCCTTATGTTAGAAAGCCCGCCAAACTATTCTGTTGGGAAACATAGTTAATGGCATGGTTTCTGGGGTGGGAAGTTTAATTTTGTATAATGTAACTTTTGGGATGGAACTTTAGTCTTGGTTTCACTTTTGACAGTGCCGATACTTTGTAGCCAATAAACATGTTCTTAGAGGAAAACTCAAGCCTTGGAGTGCTGTTTTAGTTGGTCTCATCTATCGGAACCATGACAATGATAAATAATTATTTTATGATAAAGCAGATATACATTCTTGAACCAGGCATAGCCATATTGTTTTTGTTCATTCTATAAATTATGTTTAACGAATAAAACAATTGTTCTTTATTAAATCTATAGTAAGATTTTGTAAATTGTCTGAAATTCTCTTTTTTGCCCTAGCAATGGACAGATGTAAATTTGAAATGGAATCCAGCAGATTATGGTGGTGTGAAGCAAATCCGCATACCCTCAAAGGATATCTGGCGTCCAGATTTAGTTTTGTATAACAAGTAAGTGGAACTGTTGATCCACACATTGATTCTGAGGCACAGTCTCATAATGAGAGCACAGAGAGATACATTCAGACTACACAAACAACTGTAAACCCAGCTTATGTGTGACCTCTAAAATAAAGGTTTATTTGGGGGATCATTCTCCCTGCTTTGATGCATCTGGAAATACCCTGCAAATGTTACAATTAGCTTCAACCAAAAAAGACATGCCTGCAAGAATAGGGTGGAGAAAGAGAAACAGCTACCTTGGCGTCTTCGGGCACAGGGACCCCTCAGGACCTCCTTGCCCAATGTTTTCAACAAATTTGACAGCATATGGTAAAGCTACTGGAACCAGGCTGCAAAAACCTGAATGACCACTAGGTGGGAGCAAAGCAGTGGTAGGATTCAAATATGTGAACAACTGGTTCTCTGTGTGGATGCCACTTCTGGAAGTCCATTCTGGACCTGGGCAACAAAAAAATTAACTACCAGTTCTGCCGAAGTGGTGCGAACCAGCTGAATCCCACCACTGGAGCAAAGTGTTGAAGATCATTATCTCCTTCTTTTCAAGTCTAGTTATTGTCCCATTTTGGCAGCTCTGATGTAATAACTCACATGTGGAACACTAGCAGGACCTAATGGGGACCCCCAGTGCTACTGCTGCTATCTCCTTCACAACTGCTCCTTCCAAGGCAGGCTGTTGCCTCAGCTCCAATAGGAAATGCTAGAAGGAGAGCCCTGGACTTCCCTGGGGTTTCTGCTGGCTGCTCCCTTCCTCTTCTCCCTCTCCTCTTCTTTCCTGCTTATAAAGGAATGAAAGGAGAGAGGATAGGTATATTCTGGGCAGCAGGGGTTCCGATGACCATAAGATGGCAGCAAAGAGACAGGGAAATTACTCTTTGCTGCCATCTGGTGATCTGGATTTCCACCTCTTACATAACAACAGCATAAACTCAGGAAGTTGGAGAAGGAAGGGGTCATGAATACTTACATCAGGGGTGTCAAACTGCCGGCCCACAAGCCGGCTGTGTCACGCAGCAGCCGCGCCCACCCCAGCTCCGGCAAGGGGAAAAAAGTCGCGATACGTCGTGACACGTCACGTGATGCGGTGAGTTTGACACCCCTGCTCTACATCAAGCTGAGTTCTGAATGAGAAAGTGAGAGTAATTTCCCTTGTATAACAGCTGAGGAGGGGGGTGTTGAGCAACTGTTGAAGGGATGGGAAAGACCTGTGTGTTGCTGCTGCAAAAGAGAAAAAGTAGTCATGTCATACACACACACATACACACACACACACATTACTTTCTCTGCCTCATGTTTTATCATCCCAGGCTTAGAGGGGTCTAGGGGGCTTATGCTTTCTCACCACCAGGGGGCGTATTCAACGAGCTCCACCTTGGCTCAGACAGCTCAGCTTAGGCTCCTGGCTGAAGGGCTAATAGGAAGAATGTGAGGATCATAAAATCATAGAATCCTAAGGCTGGAAGGGGCCCTAGAGATCATCTAGTCCAATCCCCTGCCCAAGTGAAGATACCTTATTTCTTCCTGGACACATGGTTATCCAACCTTTTCTTGAAAACCTCCAACTCCGGAAGACAAGCTGTTCCTCTGATTAATTTTTCTCACTTATCAGGAAATTTCTCCTTAGTGCTAGGCTGGAGAGGGCAGGCTAACTCATCAGCCATGTCTGTGGTTTGAAATGGCTTGAAATGGCACCCAAATGGGACTCCAGGAACAGAAAGGCTTGATTGTTCCCCCAACCCCAACCTGGTAATTTTACATATTTTTGACCATGGTCAAAGAAAAGACTGCACATTTCTATTCTCTTGTGTTTTTATTTGGTTCTAAAATATGTGCAAAATCCTGATTTCATACAAGAAGTACAAGGTAAAAGAACTATAATAAAGTTAAAAACCAGTGCCGGATGTGAAGACACTGGACTTTGTATATTCTCTGTCATATTCTTAAACCAAGATTATTTGGGGGAAAGGTGAGAAGTGTTATTTTATTCAAACTCACCATCCATGGTCAGCTATCATAAACATTCAGTTTAGCCTGCAAAAAATAGTATCAAACTAAGGTAGAATAATGAACAAATACTAGAATAGTGCCGTGTCAGTAGTATGTGACTAACCTAATGCGCATTACGCATGGATACAATGTATGTAGCAAACCCTCCATTGTAAACACGTGAGAAACGAACCTAATGTATTGCAATGTGTATTCCTTTGTTCCTGAGAAAAGGAAAGTATAAAACTGAAGTTTGAACCCGCCCTCAGGGTTCAGGATTGCTTGTTGCTATTGCTTCTGAACCTGCGCAATAAACCTCTCTGCTAAAACCCTCTGGAATTCATAAGAGTCCTTTCGTTTTCCACAAGAAAACCTTTTCAAATGAAAGCTTTTTTAAAACTGAAAAAACCTTTTTAATTTAATTCTGCACAGTGAATAAAAGATGTATTTCCTTCCTTTCTCATACTTTTCAAAAATTTTAAAATGTAACTGTTTTTGTACCAAATGGAGTTTGCAGACTACATTATTTTTTTTTAACAAAGACAACAAAAATAGGAAGATAAGTGGTTTTCTTCCAAACCACTGATAACCTCAACATGTGCAGCAAAATGATTAGCCAGTATATTAAAATTGTATGCTATTCCTATGACCGTTTTTGTGTTTTTAGTGCAGATGGAATTTTTGCTATCGACCAGTTCACCAAAGTTCTTGTCAACTATACAGGACATATCACATGGACTCCACCAGCCATCTTCAAAAGCTACTGCGAAATTATAGTCACCCACTTCCCCTTTGATGAGCAAAACTGCAGCATGAAGCTGGGAACATGGAGTTATGATGCCTCTGTGGTTGCCATTTACCCGGTAGGCTTTAGTTAGGTAGCTGTTTTCGGCTCATTGTGCCTTCAAGTCAGTCTTGACTGCTGGCAACTGTCTGAACTAGGCCCTGAAGTTTTCTTGGCAAGGTTTTTCAGAATTAGCTTGCCCTAGCTTTCTTTCTAGGGCTGAGGGAGAGAGAGTCTCTGGCCCAAGATCACCCAGCTGGCTTTATGGCTAAGGTGGGACTAGAACTCACAATCTCCCAGTTTCTAATCTGATGCTTAACATCACTACACCAAACTGGCTCTCTTGAGTGGCTAATACCTTTAGTCATTTTCATATTATTATATATGAGTAAAAATTTCTCCTTCCCTTCCTTTCCTTTCCCTTTCACTTCCCCTTCCCCTTCTCTTCTTCCCTTCCCTTCCCTCACTTCCCTTCTCCTTCCTTCCTTCCTTCCTTCCTTCCTTCCTTCCTTCCTTCCTTCCTTCCTTCCTTCCTTCCTTCCTTCCTTCCTTCCTTCCTCCCTTCCCTTCCCTTCCCTTCCTTTCCCTTCATTGGTTAGGCGTTGCATATTCCTGATTTAATTCCATCCCGACTTGCTGAAATCACCCAATTCTCTCCCAGAGGAACTCATTTTAAAATTTGTTTGGCTGGCTGTTTTGAGAGTTAAGGAAGGAACAATAGGCTCCATTTCTATTTGCTCCCATTTTGAAAGTTAGAGGCCTCCGTGTTTGTTTAATCTATCCATTTATATAGCATCATCCTCATCAGCCGTTCAGTCGTGTCCCACCAGGATCAGCACTCTCCATGCCCCTCTGTCTCGCACTGCCTCCTTCAGATCCGCCATGGTCATCCCGGTGTCACCTTTTACAGTGTCCAGCCAGCAGGTGCTAGGGCGCCCCGGCCCCCTTCTCCTCTTTCCACTGATCCCTCCCAGCATGATTGATTTGTACCCAGACATAAATATAGATAGTCCCCGACTTATGACCATAATGGAGATGCCCATCATGGTCTTAAGTCATGATGGTGGTAAACCCATATGACTGACCTAATTTTGCAGCTGTTTTTGCATTGGTCATTAAGCGAACATTGTGGTTGTTAAGTGAGCCAAATGGTTCACTGTGGGCCAGTTTTCAAACAAACAAACAAACCCCACATTATAAAATGAGGAGGTCCATCGTAATTTCGAATGGCTGCTAAGTGACTAGTCATAAGTTGAGAACTACCTGTTAGACAGAAATGTCCTAATCCTGCAATGAAATTCTTCCAAGTGAGATTAAACCTGGGCTAGGCATTAAATATCAATTTATAATGTTTATATTGAATATTTACAATATCTAGTATTGAATAGCATGGAATCAAGGCATAGTTATTTCATTCATTAGAAGGAAGCATTTTCCTTTTCAGGAAAGTGCGCGTCCAGACTTGGATAACTACATGGAAAGTGGAGAATGGACAATGAAAGATTACCGAGGTTGGAAACACTCGGTGAAGTATGGTTGCTGCCCTGAAACGTATCTTGATATCACCTATCACTTTGTATTGGTGCGTTTGCCTCTCTACTTCATTGTCAACGTCATTATTCCTTGCCTTCTCTTCTCATTCTTGACTGGCTTAGTATTTTATCTACCTACAGACTCAGGTATGTGCCTATGTATATCAGATTGCATCTCACCAGAAGAAGTAACCTTTTGCTGTCTTTTCACCACCTTGAATTGTTCTGCTTTAAAGGTGAACTTTAAACACGTTAAAGCCAAAGAAACCTGGTTTGCTAGTGTATATCAGCAAAGCCATTTTGGCATATATGTCTGTGCATGTATGTTTATTGCCTTTTTTTAAAAAAAATCCACTTGAAGTAATGTTCCAAGCATTTTGAGAATTTGCTAAAATTAATTGCTTCACCTCTGCATCTAAAAGGCAGATAGGATTTGGCATCTTAGGAAACATGCTGCGAAATCGGGAAGGAGGACATGGGAAAGAGGGAAAATGGCAGAACATAATTTTTGTGCCTTATTTATGTGGATCTGGTGGCTGGATGTTGGATGTCAGAGTAGCTTGCTCGTCTTAAGGATGTGGGCTTCTCACACAATCCTCTGTATAGATCTCAGGAATAGGCTGGTAGCTGGCCATTAAATGTGATTTGGAGGTCACCCAATTCAAGAATAATAATAATAATAATAATAATAATAATAATAATAATAATAATAATAATAATAATAATAATTATTATTATTATTATTATTATTATTATTATTATTATTATTATTATTATTATTATTATTATTATTAATTTAATTTATATCCCGCCCTTCTCCTTGCGGACTCAGGGCGGCTAACAACCAGATAAAACACTAATCCCCAGAACTACAATATTAAAAACATAAGTAAAAACAAATATTAGTAATGTGGTCAGATTGATTTNACAACTGTAAACCCAGCTTATGTGTGACCTCTAAAATAAAGGTTTATTTGGGGGATCATTCTCCCTGCTTTGATGCATCTGGAAATACCCTGCAAATGTTACAATTAGCTTCAACCAAAAAAGACATGCCTGCAAGAATAGGGTGGAGAAAGAGAAACAGCTACCTTGGCGTCTTCGGGCACAGGGACCCCTCAGGACCCACTCCTTGCCCAATGTTTTCAACAAATTTGACAGCATATGGTAAAGCTACTGGAACCAGGCTGCAAAAACCTGAATGACCACTAGGTGGGAGCAAAGCAGTGGTAGGATTCAAATATGTGAACAACTGGTTCTCTGTGTGGATGCCACTTCTGGAAGTCCATTCTGGACCTGGGCAACAAAAAAATTAACTACCAGTTCTGCCGAAGTGGTGCGAACCAGCTGAATCCTACCACTGGAGCAAAGTGTTGGAGATCATTATCTCCTTCTTTTCAAGTCTAGTTATTGTCCCATTTTGGCAGCTCTGATGTAATAACTCACATGTGGAACACTAGCAGGACCTAATGGGGACCCCCAGTGCTACTGCTGCTATCTCCTTCACAACTGCTCCTTCCAAGGCAGGCTGTTGCCTCAGCTCCAATAGGAAATGCTAGAAGGAGAGCCCTGGACTTCCCTGGGGTTTCTGCTGGCTGCTCCCTTCCTCTTCTCCCTCTCCTCTTCTTTCCTGCTTATAAAGGAATGAAAGGAGAGAGGATAGGTATATTCTGGGCAGCAGGGGTTCCGATGACCATAAGATGGCAGCAAAGAGACAGGGAAATTACTCTTTGCTGCCATCTGGTGATCTGGATTTCCACCTCTCACATAACAACAGCATAAACTCAGGAAGTTGGAGAGGGAAGGGGTCATGAATACTTACATAAGGGGTGTCAAACTGCCGGCCCACAAGCCGGCTGTGTCACGCAGCAGCCGCGCCCACCCCAGCTCCGGCAAGGGGAAAAAAGTCGCGATACGTCGTGACACGTCACGTGATGCGGTGAGTTTGACACCCCTGCTCTACATCAAGCTGAGTTCTGAATGAGAAAGTGAGAGTAATTTCCCTTGTATAACAGCTGAGGAGGGGGGTGTTGAGCAACTGTTGAAAGACCTGTGTGTTGCTGCTGCAAAAGAGAAAAAGTAGTCATGTCATACACACAAACACACACACACATTACTTTCTCTGCCTCATGTTTTATCATCCCAGGCTTAGAGGGGTCTAGGGGGCTTATGCTTTCTCACCACCAGGGGGCATATTCAACGAGCTCCACCTTGGCTCAGACAGCTCAGCTTAGGCTCCTGGCTGAAGGGCTAATAGAAAGAATGTGAGGATCATAAAATCATAGAATCCTAAGGCTGGAAGGGGCCCTAGAGGTCATCTAGTCCAATCCCCTGCCCAAGGCAAGAGACCTTATTTCTTCCTGGACACATGGTTATCCAACCTTTTCTTGAAAACCTCCAACTCCGGAAGACAAGCTGTTCCACTGATTAATTTTTCTCACTTATCAGGAAATTTCTCCTTAGTGCCAGGCTGGAGAGGGCAGGTTAACTCATCAGCCATGTCTGTGGTTTGAAATGGCTTGAAATGGCACCCAAATGGGATTCCAGGAACAGAAATGCTTGATTGTTCCCCCACCCCCAACCTGGTAATTTTACATATTTTTGACCATGGTCAAAGAAAAGACTGCACATTTCTATTCTCTTGTGTTTTTATTTGGTTCTAAAATATGTGCAAAATCCTGATTTCATACGGAACAAGAAGTACAATGTAAAAAAGAACTATAATAAAGTTAAAAACCAGTGCCGGATGTGAAGACACTGGACTTTGTATATTCTCTGTCATATTCTTAAACCAAGATTATTTGGGGAAAAGGTGAGAAGTGTTATTTTATTCAAACTCACCATCCACGGTCAGCTATCGTAAACATTCAGTTTAGCCTGCAAAAGATAGTTTATCAAACCTTTTCAAATGAAAGCTTTTTTAAAACTGAAAAAAAACCTTTTTAATTTAATTCTGCACAGTGAATAAAAGATGTATTTCCTTCCTTTCTCATACTTTTCAAAAATTTTAAAATGTAACTGTTTTTGTACCAAATGGAGTTTGCAGACTACATTATTTTTTTAACAAAGACAACAAAAATAGGAAGATAAGTGGCTTTTTTTCAAACCACTGATAACCTCAACATGTGCAGCAAAATGGTTAGCCAGTATATTAAAATTGTATGCTATTCCTATGACCGTTTTTGTGTTTTTAGTGCAGATGGAATTTTTGCTATCGACCAGTTCACCAAAGTTCTTGTCAACTATACAGGACATATCACATGGACTCCACCAGCCATCTTCAAAAGCTACTGCGAAATTATAGTCACCCACTTCCCCTTTGATGAGCAAAACTGCAGCATGAAGCTGGGAACATGGAGTTATGATGCCTCTGTGGTTGCCATCTACCCGGTAGGCTTTAGTTAGGTAGCTGTTTTCTGCTCATTGTGCCTTCAAGTCAGTCTTGACTCCTGGCAACTGTCTGAACTAGGCCCTGAAGTTTTCTTGGCAAGGTTTTTCAGAATTAGCTTGCCCTAGCTTTCTTTCTAGGGCTGAGGGAGAGAGAGTCTCTGGCCCAAGATCACCCAGCTGGCTTTATGGCTAAGGTGGGACTAGAATTCACAATCTCCCAGTTTCTAATCTGATGCTTAACATCACTACACCAAACTGGCTCTCTTGAGTGGCTAATACCTTTAGTCATTTTCATATTATTATATATGAGTAAAAATTCCTCCTTCCCTTCCCTTTCCTTTCACTTCCCCTTCCCCTTCTCTTCTTCCCTTTCTTCACTTCCCTTCTCCTTTTCCTTCCTTCCTTCCTTCCTTCCTTCCTTCCCTTCCCTTCCCTTCCCTTCCCTTCCCTTCGTTGGTTAGGCTTTGCGTATTCCTGATTTAATTCCATCCCAACTTGCTGAAATCACCAAATTCTCTCCCAGAGGAACTCATTTTAAAATTTGTTTGGCTGGCTGTTTTGAGAGTTAAGGAAGGAACAATAGGCTCCATTTCTATTTGCTCCCATTTTGAAAGTTAGAGGCCTCCGTGTTTGTTTAATCTATCCATTTGTATAGCATCATCCTCATCAGCCATTCAGTCGTGTCCCACCAGTATCAGCACTTTCCATGCCCCTCTGTCTCGCACTGCCTCCTTCAGATCCGCCATGGTCATCCCGGTGTCACCTTTTACAGTGTCCAGCCAGCAGGTGCTAGGGCGCCCCAACCCCCTTCTCCTCTTTCCACTGATCCCTCCCAGCATGATTGATTTGTACCCAGACATAAATATAGATAGTCCCTGACTTATGACCATAATGGAGATGCCCATCATGGTCTTAAGTCATGATGGTGGTAAACCCATATGACTGACCTAATTTTGCAGCTGTTTTTGCATTGGTCATTAAGCAAACACTGTGGTTGTTAAGTGAGCCAAACGGTTCACTGTGGGCCAGTTTTCAAACAAACAAACAAACCCCACATTATAAAATGGGGAGGTCCATCGTAATTTCGAATGGCTGCTAAGTGACTAGTCATAAGTCGAGAACTACCTGTTAGACAGAAATGTCCTAATCCTGCAGTGAAATTCTTCCAAGTGAGATTAAACCTGGGCTAGGCATTAACTATCAATTTATAATGTTTATATTGAATATTTACAATATCTAGTATTGAATAGCATGGAATCAAGGCATAGTTATTTCATTCATTAGAAGGAAGCATTTTCCTTTTCAGGAAAGTGCGCGTCCAGATTTGGATAACTACATGGAAAGTGGAGAATGGACAATGAAAGATTACCGAGGTTGGAAACACTCGGTGAAGTATGGTTGCTGCCCTGAAACGTATCTTGATATCACCTATCACTTTGTATTGGTGCGTTTGCCTCTCTACTTCATTGTCAACGTCATTATTCCTTGCCTTCTCTTCTCATTCTTGACTGGATTAGTATTTTATCTACCTACAGACTCAGGTATGTGCCTATGTATATCAGATTGCATCTCACCAGAAGAAGTAACCTTTTGCTGTCTTTTCACCACCTTGAATTGTTCTGCTTTAAAGGTGAACTTTAAACACGTTAAAGCCAAAGAAACCTGGTTTGCTAGTGTATATCAGCAAAGCCATTTTGGCATATATGTCTGTGTGTGTGCATGTATGTTTATTGCCTTTTTTTAAAAAAAAGATCCACTTGAAGTAATGTTCCAAGCATTTTGAGAATTTGCTAAAATTAATTGCTTCACCTCTGCATCTAAAAGGCAGATAGGATTTGGCATCTTAGGAAACATGCTGCGAAATCGGGAAGGAGGACATGGGAAAGAGGGAAAATGGCAGAACATAATTTTTGTGCCTTATTTATGTGGATCCGGTGGCTGGATGTTGGATGTCAGAGTAGCTTGCTCGTCTTAAGGATGTGGGCTTCTCACACAATCCTCTGTATAGATCTCAGGAATAGGCTGGTAGCTGGCCATTAAATGTGATTTGATTTGATTTGGAGGTCACCCAACTCAAGAATAACCCCTCGTTGGTTTACAGTAAAAAAAAATACCAAGCAGTTTTTAAAAATCCTATATGTCCATAATAAAATAAAATATTAATCATTTATAGATAAATATTAAAATATGAAGGTAATTTTTAATGTTTAATTTTAATATAATTGAGGTAGTACCTTTCTTGTCTTACCCACTGCCTTTTCTTTCCTTTTTAAATTTTAAGCTTGTTCACAAGAACAGTCTGATTTTAATTCTTATTTACTGTTCCAGAAACAAGTCACGCGTGATTTAAATAACCAACAAATAACGTATGCTGGGGAAAGCATTCATGATTCTCCAGCTACATTCCACCCCCAGGTTTAGGATAACAAAGAGACACCAGCACAAAGTCACCCAGAAAGATTCATGGTTGAGTGGGACCTTGAACTTAGGTTTCCCAGATCCCAGACAGCTTCCCCACTAATGATTTATAACATCTTACAGCATTATGCAAGCATGAGGGAGACAATATAAGGCTTATTTTTATTACTTTTACATTTTCACAAATGGTTGGATGACTCTAGAACAGGGGTAGGCAACCTCGGCTCTTTTATGACTCATGGACTTCAACTCCCAGAATTCCTGAGTCAGCTGCTGACTCAGGAATTCTGGGAGTTGAAGTCCATGAGTCATAAAAGAGCCGAGGTTGCCTATCCCTGCTCTAGAATATATTATAGTAGGGTTGAATTGTAGTGAATACCCAAAGTTAACACAATAATTCTTACCTGACTTCTCACCAAGCACCAATTGCACTCCTTCCTTCTGTTTTGTTCATTAATCCCTTCCATTTATTATTTTCTCCTAACTTATCCCAGGGGAGAAGATGACTCTGAGCATCTCTGTCCTGCTTTCTTTGACTGTGTTTCTTCTTGTCATTGTGGAGCTGATTCCTTCAACTTCCAGTGCTGTTCCCTTGATTGGCAAATACATGTTGTTCACCATGGTGTTTGTCATAACTTCTATCATCATCACTGTCATAGTGATCAATACCCACCATCGCTCGCCCAGTACCCACACTATGCCACAGTGGGTGAGAAAGGTGAGATGACCTACATTTTTCAAGCTTGGGACAGGAGATTAGGAGAAATAAAAGGAAGTGTATTGTGTAGTGGGCTTCAGTAGGCAAGGAGCAGACCAGCATAGTTATAACATTATTTATTGACTCAAACTAGAATTGGAGAACTGCAGGCAATTGCCTATAATTTATACTCTGAGCCCACAAGGCCTTAACCAATCACAATACTTGAAAACCCCACCCAAATATAAATGTTCAAAGTTTCTCTCCAAAACAGTTGGAGTTAACAGTCAGGGTCATCTAAAGCAGTGGTTCTTAACCTGGGCGATATCGCCCCCCATGGGGCAATTTCGTTTTTCAGGGGGGCGATGGAACAAAAAGGGGCGACAAGGGAGCGAAGGAACGAAAAGGGGGCGATATGGGGCAATGGAGCAAGAGGTTTTGGGGACACTTTTGAGACTTTTTCGTACAGTGAATCGCTGTATATCTGTCGTACAAAAACATCAGATCGTTCGCTATGAGTGGATTGAATTGTGTTTTCAAATGTTCCTCCAGCTAGCTTCAGTACAGAACGCTGTACATATGTGAATACGCATCGGCTTCGTTTTCACATTTTTGTTGTGCTCTGTAAAACATTTTGTGTGTCTCTTTGTATTGTACTTTTTTAGCGTGCACTCCAGTTCGATATTATATTTTCTTTGTGTCTTTTTAATCCTTTTTACAGTGTGCGTGACTATATATACTTTCCTCGAATCTTAATTTAGTTTCAGAGTTTTTGTCTTGAAATTCTTAGTTCCTGCATTGTGGTTTGTTCTTGTGCCCTTTTTATATTTCTTTTTGAGTCTTAAATTTCACTTGTAATTCAATCATTAAATGTTACTGTTTTTCTTTTCGGGCATTTCACTTTCTTGAAATTGAATTTTGTTTTCAGTGGTCATTACATTTAAGTGTCTTGAATAAATAAGATAATAATGAAATACATGTATCACGAAGTTTGGGAATAAAGTGACGGGTGGCACCAAAATTTTTCACACAGTTGATATATGGGGAAAAGACTGGAAATAAATTATTTGCATCAATATGTCCTGATGACAATTTTAAAGAAAAGAAAAAAGTGTTTGCATAAATTGAAGAATTATTTCCTATGAGAGGTTATGTTGGGGGAGGGGGGCGATCACAACTTTCTTATTGGCTCAAGGGGGCGATTCGTTCAAAAAGGTTAAGAACCACTGATCTAAAGGTTAGTTTCATTTTAGCTTCACAAGCAGTTGGAGTTAAGTTAGTTTCACTTTAGCACGGATTAACACAACTTTATATATATTCAATACGTAACAAAGTGTATCTCCATTCAGTACATGGACACCTTTAAGAAGAGGTCAATAAAATAAGCTCTCAATGGATTCTAGATAAGATAGCTGTATATTATCTCTTTTTATCAGAAACAAGATATACATCCTAGTTCCAATTGCTCCAGAGGAGCAGAAGGATGGTACTTCTTAGAAGCATCTAACTCTATAAAGGTCTTGTAGCAATGGCTTGTTGTTAAGTTGGTATTTGAACTAAAAGGCCAAGGAAGAAGATTTTCAAGCAATTAAGTTAAATTTATATTTATTTTATATTTTAACTTTAAGTTATTTTGCATGTAAGTAAAAAAAACCCTCCTTTTTTCTTGCCTATTCCATCTTCTTTTGAGTGGGTAGGGGATAGTTTTAGTGTTACCTTACTTTGTTAATGCTGTTTGCATTTCTCTTTTTCCATTTTAATTAATTTGAAACAATAATATATATATATTTAAAAGAGGAACTTACATATAGCTGATTTCATATTTAGCAAATGGCCCCCACTCAAATTATACCAATAACCATAATAAAACCAGTATCTGCATTGTAATTGATAAAAAGTCCATGTAATTCTAACTTGCCATCTGAGCAAAAGTTGCACATTTAATCATCATTAAACAAGTAAGCAATAGTGGGTAACTTGAATTATTCTGATATACTTCTAATTGCTTCCCGGAGTCCCAGTTAGCATCAAACAGTACTATAATCTATTTTCTTTTGAGATTGAGAGAAGCGGCCAGTTTGGTTTAGATTCTCTAATCAGCATCTATTTCTTTCAGATATTTATTGAAACAATTCCAAATGTTATGTTTTTCTCAACCATGAAACGTCCGTCCAAAAATAAGCAGGAGAACAAGATTTTTACTGAGGACATGGATATCTCTGAAATCTCAGGGAAACAAGAGCCCACGGCTATGAATTTCCAGACATCACTTACTAAAAATCCAGATGTCAAAAGCGCAATTGAAGGCATCAAATATATTGCTGAGTCGATGAAATCAGATCAAGAATCCAATAATGTAAGAATTAAACATTCGATGTGAATCCTTTGAGATCATTACTTTTGTGTGTGTGTGTGTGTGAGAGAGAGAGAGAGAGAGACAGACAGACAGACAGACAGACAGACAGACAGACGGACGGACAGACAGACAGACAGACAGACAGACAGCTGTGGGAACATGTAAGACCCCAAAATATTTTGCACCACAAAGTGGTCAATGCTGTTTTGCCTTCTCCTGTGAAATTTCATTCCTGATGGGTGATGTAGGTAAATACAGGTAATCCTTGACTTACAACTTACGACCACCATTGACCCCAACATTTCTGTTATTAAGCAAAACATTAGTTAAGTGAATTTTGCCCTGTTTTATGACCTTTCTTGCCACAGTTGTTAAGTGAATCGTTGCAGTTGTTAAGTTGTTAAGTTAGTGACACTGTTGTTAAGTGAATCTTGACTTTGCTTGTCAAAAGGTTGCAAAAGGGGATCACGTGATCCTGGGACACTGCAACCGCCCTAAATACGAGTCAGTTGCCAAACATCTGAAGTTTGATCACATGACAATGGAGATGCCGCAATGGTTGTAAGTGTGAAAAACAGTCATAAGTAACTTCAAACCGTCACTAAATGAACCGTTGTAAGTTGAGTACTACCTGTATTCTGTTTCATCGGTTGACAACTAGGGCATATGGAAAATTGCGACTTGATAAGGACTACATGATGATGAACATGAAGAACATGAAAAGAATAAAAAGGTCTTTTATATTTATGAAATTTTAAGAGAAAGAAAGAGAAATGGCTGAATGACGGGGATCAAATCTTGTGCGGTAGAGTTGATAATTATACATAATATGAATGAATGGATTAAAACACAGGTCAGAAAGTATAAATGGTTATCATCTAACAGTTATGGGTGTACCTGAAAGAAGAAGTCCATAAGCTGGTGATCATTGCATGTTATACAAGTGAAGAAGCAGAGGTATTTTTCAGTATTTGAAAAATCTTGAGCAACTTTCTCAGAGAATGAAAATAAGAAGAAAAATATGACATTAGGTAACATGAATAAATGAATAGGAACAAGGTAAAAGCATAAAGAAAAATGATTGGATTACTTACGGATCCAAGAATTTAGGTGCATATCTGCTTTTAGAATAGCTGTTTTAAATATATAATTTAAGCATAAAAGTACTTGTATATTCATAAAGGATGTGGAAGTTGCATTGGTCAGACTGTAAAGACTTATGCTACAAAGTTCCACAGAAATTTGTGGAGTTACATTAGATCTATATCAAGAGGAACTACATTACATCAGGAGGAAGACTATGCATAATTTATAGGGGAAAAATAGTTACAAAGTATATGGTCCAAGAGAGCAAGAAAGGGTTAAGATTAAGAAAAATAGAACAATTTTGATTGAAATTAAAATTGGTTTTGGAAATACTGAGGAAAAAAGCGTTTAACATATTCAACATATTATTATCCATCTTATACACATAATTAAAATATTTCTTTCAGCATTCCATCACTTCCGTTTCATTCTAAATGGCTTTTTTTTGAAGTGCAGGAAAAAAGGCTAAATTAGGAGCCTCCAGCAGAGTGAGTGAACTTAAAAATGAAAGAGATAATATCATTCAGGATGAAAAGGAATTGAGGGGATGGTGGAAGGAGCATATGTTGAAGAGTGGAATTGACTTCTATAAATGTTAGTGCTTAAGAAAAAGAAATATGCATATATCAAGAGGACAGGGATGATCAAGAAATTTGTGATCCTCAGAGGCAAAGCAATGTGTATAGAGAATAAGAATAAGAATAAATTAAATTTTAATGTAATATTTAAATTCAGTTTAGGAACATGTAACACTCACTGGTCCAGAACAAACTGCTTTTACTTAGGAGAATTTATTTTTGGATAGTGCCAAATTGCATGGTTTCAGGTAGGTTTAGGATAATTCAGAGGGGAAATCTGGGATCTCAAACTTGTTGAATTCCTGAACTGGTGAATTTTGCACATTCCTATAATCAGCATATGGACTTGATGAAAGAATCATTGCCAAAAATAGAAAGAAAGTAGAGTCTTCTCTTTAATTTCCTTTGTATGTTCTTTCTTTCTTTCTTTCTTTCTTTCTTTCTTTCTTTCTTTCTTTCTTTCTTTCTTTCTTTCTTTCTTTCTTTCTTTCTTTCTTTCTTCCAGCACTTTGTATAAAATGGTTTATCCTGAAGGGGAATAGAGTTTGTAGATAGGTATGTGTATGCATATCCAGAAAGTTTGGGTACAAAACTCAATCCTTTTCCTAGATGACTTGGCTGTGTGGCTTTTAGAGGGTTTTCTGGCATCATCTATTATGGGCATTTCTCATGGATGGTGCAGAGGCTGTAGCTTCAGCAAGGGATTATTTGGAACTTTGAGAATATGTCACAGCCATCATAAAATGGCTGCAGTGAAAGGGAGGGCCCAGGAGTCAGCTGACTCAGGAATTCTGGGAGTTGAAGTCCACGAGTCATAAAAGAGCCAAGGTTGTCTACCCCTGGAGATGGCCAATTAGAAAATCCCCATTTGCTAGAAGTGCAATTCTTCCCTCCTTTTCCTTCAATCGACAAAGAAGCCATTTTGCTTTCCCTAGCCCATGGACAGATGAGCATATTTCCAAACAAAGTGCTGCATTCCACCCACCCACCCATTCTTTTTATTCTTCCAGAAAAGTCTTATGAAATCTAATTTAGAATTTAGAGGTATACTAGAAATAAAAAAATTGAGACTTGATTTTGATGGTACTTTGTGCACCATCTTATCTTTCCATTTAGATTTGAATGACTCTAAATAAAACTTTATGATTCAATGGTGGCAGGGAGCCAGACAGGTGACAAGGTGTATTATTCCCAAGGTAACCAAAAGTTGTTGCTATGGTACTGGAAACTTTTGTCTTCTCTTTCCAGCTCAGTGCCTCAGTAGCCACCTGGTCAAATGTTACTGCAGAGTATTTGGCTCCCTCTTCTGGCCAAAAATGTAATTGTTCAATACAGTAAATAGATTTGAAAGCAAACCATATACGGTAGCTTATTGTAATAGCAGGTAAATATATTCTGGGATAAATATGTCCTGGGAATAGCTCTTACCTGGACCTTTTCAAATCATTGATGTTTCTATCTGTAGGATGAATTATGTGTTTGCAATTCACTTTCCAATAACAAACAGGTGTTCCTTTATTTTATTTTATTTTTGCAATGCGGTCCCTGCTCATTGTCTCTATTTGACCAAATCTCCTCAACATATTTTTCTTTTATTAAACATTTTTAAGAGTGAACAAGCAAATAAAAAAAGAAAAAAATAGCCGATACATAAATATATCAGTACAACATAGTAATGGTCAAAAGAATTGTGGAATCTGTATAGTTGGTGTTTATTATATCTTTGTTGAGAAATTAACCATTAAACCCAAATATGTTAAATTTATTTAACAACATGAGGAAGGGATGTATTTCTTTTGTACTGGTCACTTACTTTAGCTCATTTTCATTTTATTATATCAATTCCTCATATGTATTTTTTATTATTATTTCACTTATTCATTCAAACTCTTTGTTGTTGTTTCTCTTACATTCTAAGTCACAGTCCCATGTGTCATGTCATTATAGATACTGAGTTCTATTGCCCATCATATCTTTGGTCAATCAAAAGAAGAAAGGTTTTGAAGAGAAAAATCTGCTTACATAACTCCTGGCATTATGAAAATTCTGATTTCTTTTTCTTACATTTCTTTTTTAACCATCAGGCCGCAGAGGAATGGAAGTTTGTTGCAATGGTGGTTGATCATCTTCTCCTTGGCATCTTCATGTTAGTTTGCATCATTGGAACCCTCTCGGTTTTTGCTGGCCGTCTCCTTGAACTAAGCCAGCAAGATTGAAATAAGGACATTCGGTGAAAGAGCATGCTATGTCCTGGAGTAAGTGAACTTCAGGAAATTTATAGAAGGAAATTTTCTTACCCCACCTCTATCCTTTAGCTCCCGGATCCCTGCTCAGGAAGATCCATCAACTGTTCCAAATATTTTCACACAGTTCAGGGCTATAGCAGCGAAATAAAGTGCAAATTTCCTTCGGTGAAAATCCTAAGTTACCAAACTGTAAATCATGTATTTTAAGGAATATCCATATGCCCTCATTCTGGTATTTCAAAATACCAATCAGCGTGGATAAATGTGTAAAGATAATATAGACATATTTAAGCTATAAATTGGTTATAGCAATTTGCATTAAAGAGGTCTAATATGGCATCGTTTTGAGTTCCCACAGCACAGTAAGTCTGAAGCCTTGTGGAAAACTTGACATCCACTCTTGGGACCTAAGGTTTATGCTTCCATATATTACATAAATACAAAAAGAAGTGTTTTTTCTTAATAAAATCACTGGATTGATGAGTTAAACCCTGTTCTGTTCTAAATATTTAAAGAAGTATCTAGCAAGGCTATACTTTTAGTTTATGTTTTTAGTCAAATATCTCCAGCAATATGGGATACTGAAATAGAAAATGCTCTTAGCTTACCCTGATTTCTACTAACAGCAATCACTTCAGTCAGCAAGTGTTCATCCACTAATGCAGTGATGGCGAACCTTTTAGAGACCGAGTGCCCAAACTGCAACCCAAAACCCACTTATGTATCATTGGGTGCCGGGTGGGCGTGGCCCTTTGGGTGGGCGTGGCCCTTTGGGTGGGCATGGCTTCGGTGGTAATGGCAGACTGGGTGGGACTAAAAAGTTCAATCAATTAATTCCGACTTTGCGAGATCTATTTTTTCCCCGTGAGAAGTTGAAATTGATTGATTGATTGAACTTTTTTTTTTATACATGGCAGCGGATGCCTAAAGTGAAAAGTTTTTATAAAACCCAGCTGAAGGCCTAGGACTGGGGCGACAGTGCGCGTGCCCACAGAGAGGGCTCTGAGTGCCACCTGTGGCACACATGCCATAGGTTTGCCACCACGGCCCTAATGAATTGATCAGAATAGATTAATTTTCTAAGACCATATTGATGGAGCAAGCTCAGCCACTTCTGGCATGAACCATGATGTGAGATGATCCAGAGACTGAAGGATACCTCAGCTTGTTAGGAAATGGCTTCACTTGTTATTTCCCAATCTTTCTAAAATGCCACCAACTTTAGGGAGGTTGGAATTATCAGGGCATGGAGGGAAGTGTGGCTTCTCCCTACCACTTTCAATACTATTTCTCACCCCTGTGCACCTCCCAAGCAGGTGAAATGGAAAACATAAGGAGCAGTTTGAAGTGCCTCTATTTTGCAGGTCCACTCGTAGCTCCAGTTTGTGTGTCAATAGACAAAGAAGGAGCCAAAGCCCACGACAAGGTCTGTTAGCTACTCTTGGGTACAAATGGAGTAGCCCAGTTCCACCTCTCTCCTCACCAAGAACTGTCTGAAGATGCAAATCCAAAAGGCATCCTGGGACTTCAGTAGACCAAGTTAAACATGTTGCTTAAAATGGTTCATCTCTGTATCCTGAATCTAATGGAAATCACATTATTGATGGATTATTAATGACCTGAATTCTTCCCATTTGAAGGATTATTTGTTCTTTTGCTTTTTTACAATTCCATTCATTTCCGCCTTTACTTCATTCCTTACGTTTGATGAGGCGTGTTTCCATAATGTCGCTATCTCATCTTGAGGATTTGATTTCAGTGCTGACAAAATTTATATAATACAGCAAGAAAACATATGGGTATCTCCTGAACCCATACCCAGATATGAGATTTAACCAGATCAAAGGTCTCCCCTTTCAACACTTAAGGTGCAAACCTGTGTGTCTAGTCACACCAGTTCATCTGAATTCAATAGGATTTACTTCCTCATATAAATACAGAACAGGAACCTTGCAGAACTAATTTTCATTCGTGGTAATACAGCAATGCACAAGTTGTTATTAGTTTTACAAAAACATTTGTGAATGTGGATTTAAATATCTAGTTAACATTTTCTTATTCTATATAAAAATATTCTTCAAAATGAAAATAAGATGTTACTCATTTTTTAAAAAAAGATAATCCTCTCCAATCAAATAATAGATTCTTCAGATTATCAATAACAATAACAACAACAACAACAACAACAACAACAACAACAATAATAATAATAATAATAATAATAATAATAATAATAATAATAATAATAATAAAGTTGGAAGGGACCTTGGAGGTCATCGAGTCCAACTCCCTGCTCAGGCAGGAAACCCTATACCATTTCAGACAAATGGCTGTCCAGTCTCTTCTTAAAAACTTCCAGTGTTGGAGCATTCACCGCTTCTGGAGGTAAGGAGTTCCACTGGTTAATTGTTCTCACTGTCAGGAAATTTCTCCTTAGTTCTAGGTTGCTTCTCTCCTTGATTAGTTTCCATCCGTTGCTTCTTGTCCTGCCTTCAGGCGCCTTGGAGAATAGCTTGACTCCCTCTTCTTTATGGCAACCCCTGAGATATTGGAACACTACTATCGTGTCCCCCCTCGTCCTTCTCTTCATTAAACTAGGCATACCCAATTCCAGCAGCCTTTCCTTATATGCTTTGGCCTCCAATCCCCTAATCATCTTTGTTGCTCTTCTCTGCACTCTTTCTAGAGTCTCAACATCTTTTTTACATCGTGGTGCCCAAAACTGGATGCAGTATTCCAAGTGTGGCCTTACCAAGGCATTGTAAAGTGGCATTAACACTTCACGTGATCTTGATTCTATCCCTCTGTTAATGCAGCCCAGCACTGTGTTGGCCTTTTTGGCAGCTGCAGCACACTGCTGGCTCATATTTAAGTGATTGTCCACTAGGACTCCAAGGTCCCTCTCACAGTTACTACTATTGAGCAAGGTACCCCCTATACTATACCTGTACACAAGCTCTTTCTTAATGCTTAAAATTTCTGCATAAATTGACACTGTGATTTGTATGTTACACTGGTCTTCTATGGTTCCAGTGAAACTTCAATAACAAATGTCAAAGTCATGATTTAAAGGTGGAAAACGTTTCACTGAACGAGTATAAATAATTCTGCAATCTCCCATATGTGTCTCCTTTCGTTACGAATATCTAACCAAGCAAAATTCATATATTTTTCATATACACCATGTAACCATCTATCTTAATTGCAGTTCTCTGCTTAGATGTAGTTTATCACAACCAACAATCATGGTTTTTACTTGCGATAGTCCACACTCAAAACTTTTTGTGCTCCATGGGTATGATCCAACCCAGTCGCTGAATGGTGCTTTCTACCAGCTGACATATATGGCAGTCTGGAAAAGCCCGATAAGAAAAGAGGACATACTAGGCAAAAATCATCTCAAGCATCCCTATTGACCCCAAACCTTCTAATATGGAATAGGATTCCAACATTTGCCCAATTAAAACACACCAAATTATACCAATTATATAAAAATGCTAAAAATGCTTTGTTGTCTCCAAAATGGCAGCTACTTTTCAGTGGAGAATATCAACTCAGAGTCATTCCCCATTGCTCAATCAAACGCTACTCATGTAGCCTTGAGAAATCAGAAAACTATGCCAGCGTAGAATTTCCTCTTACCAGTTCTGATCCCCTCTCTACTGCCTCAGTTTTAAATCAATGTATTCCTCTGACTTCCCTTCACAGTAATGGGTGATATAAATCCCACCAAATTTGATACAAACTGAGATTGGCCTTGCATAGCGTTGGAATAAGGGGTAAAATATATTTAAACATATTTAACTCTGGTAGAGCTCAGAACAACTTAACTCTACCTTACTAATGAAATGGAACTGGAGATAAGGATGTTGCTAGGGACACAGTAGAAAACAAGAGGTTGCCAGGCAATGAATTTGCCATGGTTAGATGCTTTTTGTTTCTTCTCAAGTATATGTTGTCCTGGTGGAAGACATTAGGTACCATCAGGATTAAATATATAATACATGATCTCCAAATGTCTATGGAGATTCTCAATCATCCAGGTCTTGGTTGTCCCCAAAGTGCTTTTCCAAAAGGCAATTGGGCTTTGTTTTCTTTTTCCTCGAAAGAAGCTGCAAGTGGCTCAGATTATATAACTATAAAATGTCCTGTTGGTCCTACGAGCAGAGATGTAGTTTTCTTGCCAGCCGAGCTGGCAAAACCAAGTGGTGCTAATTAAAATACTAACATGAGCATCAGATTTCAAAGGTGGTAAACACTAAAGCTGTGATCATAGTGGAATTTTTAGTTTGCTCATAAAGCTGCTTACACAGGGGGAGAGTTCAAGGCTATGGGTACCACCAGCCTAAGTAAATGAGGTCAGAATCTTCTGTGAAAAAAAAGACCTCAGCAGGAAACAAACCATAAACCAAAGAAATCATTCTTGTGATTCAGAAGATTATCTCCCTGAGAAAGAGGCTGCTTTCCATAACTGACCATTTTAATGCCATTTTCTCCATTAACTTGTGAATATCCTGGGCTGGATGTGATAAGGAAGAATAGCAATAACACTTAAATTTACAGTTCACATCTCTTTACAGCACTCTCTGATCAGTTTACATATTACCCCCAACAATCTGGATCCTCATTTTACCGACCTCGAAAGGATGGAAGGCTGAGTCAACCTTGAGCCAGTCAGGATCGAACTCCAGGCTGTGGGCAGAGTTTGCCTGCAATGCTGCATTTTAACCACCGCGCCACCATGGCTCCTACACAGAAGCCATATTTGCTTACAAAGAACCAAAAGGCATGGCCAAAGCAGCAGGGCATTAGTGGACAGGTCAGAGGATCCTATGGTAAGAAGAAAAAGTCTGTGACAGAAAATTGTGGAGGCCCCAACAAATCCTTAATATGATGATGATGGTGGTGGTGGTGGTGATGGTGATGATAATGACAAAAAATCTGGATAATGGATATTGCAGTACCTGGAGACAGCAGAAGAGAAGAGAAAGAATTGGAGAAAAATCACAAAATACAAAGACCCATTCCCAAGGACCTGGGATAGGCAGATGTTGTTTAATAATATTAAAGGTATCATCACAGGATGTAAGCTGTTTATTATCAACATCATATTCACCACCTTAATCTTGGCTCTGCCTTGACTTTCTTTCTTCACTTCTTTTTATCCAGGCGAGCAAGATTGACACTAATAGGAATGATGAATCATTTACATTGTGATATGTGATTGAGAACTAACACTTTAAGTGTGTGTCACAAAGAGATTGGCCATGTCCCCACTAGCATCTTTTAAACTCATCCATCCATCACTGTGCCAAAATAGCAACAGCAAGGCCAGGCTTTCTATCACTTTAAGAATGCTATGAAGATGCTGTAAGTCACTAATGGCAAACCAGACATTATCTTTCTCAAAGTAAATCAAAAAGTAAGGTACAGAT